CGGGCCATGTAACATCTGATTAGCAAAGTTCCTCTTGTAAAATGGCTCAAAAACGACAGGATGCGGTAGTATGAGCTGTGGCTCCATCCTATTGAAGGCTACTGAAAACTGCATTGCTCACCTGACCTAACGAGAATTGTCACCTCTACCTGCTCAAGGGACTCTTCAGTGATTTTTTGAAATGTGGGACTCCATCCTGCCGCACCCTATATGATCAACATATTCCATACTATAGACTCATATAAACTCATACTATTTTAATCATTTTAATAAAACATCAAATTGTAAATATAATCTAAAGACAAATTTTGAACAATATATTTGGAAAATTATAAGAAAAAGACAGTGCATATAAATATGTAAATAATTATAAATGAATATAAATAATTGTTTAGAAGAACAATACATATGTTGCGATTTTCTATTTTTAAATAATTTTTATGATGAGTATAAGGTAAATGTTCACAATATAATAAATAAAATGTAATAATATTTGATCTGTTATATTAGATTTATATTCTTATATATTATATTTTTGCATTTGCATATTTACTTTCCATTTATCAAAAGTGTGCATTGCAGAGATTCTGACTTTACAGAAACTTATAGTAATTCTATTGGGTAAAATATGCAAAATAATTATTAAATAATTCAAACATATTTCTTTAAATAATCTACAAATTTAAAAAATATCCTTCACTAGTTTATCTAGCAGAAAATCTTCATTTTTCCAATCTCAATTATCTTAATTTGCAGAAGAAATAGAACTAATAGTGGAAAATTAAACATAAGAAATAGTTGGACAGTCATCGATCAGCTATTATCAAACATGATTTCACGTTTTAATAGTAAAATGCAGCAAACTCGTAGGATATTAAACAATAAATACAGAAAAAAAAAAAATTAGAGAAACTCACGAATTAAATGTCAAAGCACACACAGCTGTAAGAAAAACAGGAGAAAAAGTAAAACCTCGTACTTATCTTTTTGCAAAGAATATAGGCCGTCCTTGAAATGAAGTAACGCATTGGTATCGTGCTTTGGAAGAGTGAAAGGAAAAAGGAAAAAGAAATAGACGAGGGAGAGAGACTTTTCACAACCGCAAAATAAAGTTTCGCTTTTGAGAATGGACACTTTCTCGAAATATGTGTGCCACATATTTCATCCACATATTTTTTTACATGTTTTTCATACAGAAATAATTATTGATAGTAATTTTTTAAGGAAAACATTTGATTTATATACTGATCTCATTTAATACGCAGTGTACAGTCAACGCGATTAATTCGTACCGCGTTACGTTATGGAAACCGCGCTTTAAAAAACTCAGATGTACCTTCAACAAAAAAAGGAAATTGCCCATTAATTTCAATTGTAAAAATTTTATACATAGAAAAATTCATGCTATAGAGAATCTTCATAAGTCAATTAAGTTGATGGAATGTTGTTGAACGAAAATCGTGTTATAAGAGCACCGCTTTGTAGGAGGATTGACTGTATATCGTTTCGTGAAAGAGCTAAAAAAAATACTAAAATAAAAGATATTTTATGAGTTTCCATGATTTAAAATATTTCCGTAATATTATACACAGCAGATTCTTATTTCATTATACAGGGCATCTCCAATTTAAATGTCAAAATCTCAACAGCACATAGTGGACTGACGAACTTGTAAGAAAAAAAGATCTTTAGAAATTTACTTCTTTTTGATTAAAAATGAATTTGAAAAGATCATGGAAAAAGAAACAAGATGTTTTCGCTTCTATACTTATTTATTTACGCTTATTCATGCTATCGTCTCTTTTATCATTTTTATTTACTTACTTATTAAAATATTCCTCAAAATATTTGCCTCTTGTAATAATACAAGCAACATTGACCATCCTGGTTATAAATGATAATGACATTTGGCGCATTACAGCTACGATTTGATTCAACTTCGCTTTTTTACTTGTTCTCTTGAATTGATTAATGTCGAATAAACTTTCAAAGTAAATAAAAAAATAAAAAAACTTTTTTGTTTCTTTTCTCGTGATTTTCTCCAAAATGGCGTAAAAGACTCCCGAAGTCTTCTACATGTTCCTGAAATTTTGACATTTAAGTTAGGAACACTCCTAACAAAAATTAAAGTTATATCACTTTTTATAAATAATTGTATATATATATATATATATATATATAAAATTTTTGTAAGTTTTTATACATACTTATTACTTATAAAAAATAATATAAAATTATTTAAAATTAAGTAATATTATAAAAAACAATAATTTGTACATATTGTGTACATAAACATGCACTCTGTTATTTAAAACTGAATAAATTTTAGTCATAAAAATGATAAAATTTTTAAGAACTTTAATATATAAAAGTTATAAATTGTATTATGTTTAATTTAAATCAGTTATATAAAATCATACAAAATGATCCGTGATTGATGTTATTTACGCAGCTAAAATAGTTTGATTTTTGGGAACAAGGAGATGTAGGAGAAAAAAATGAAGGAAATAACAAAATTGTAAAACTTCTTTTAACAAAAACTTTATGCACAGATAATATACTGTGGCTGTAAG